AATCTGATGGTGTTCAACGCCGATAAATGCAAGGTTCTCCACCTTGGGAAAACCCCCCCGCAGCATCCTTATAGGCTCAGCAGTGCTATGTTGGCTAGCACTATGGAAGAAAGAGACTTGGGGGTCATCATTGACCACAAGATGAACATGAGCCTGCAATGCGATGCGGCGGCTAGTAAAGCGACCAAAACGCTGGCTTGCCTCCATAGATGCTTCTCAAGCAAATCCCGGGACGTCATTCTCCCCCTGTACTCGGCCTTAGTGAGGCCGGAGCTGGAGTACTGTGTCCAGTTTTGGGCTCCACAATTCAAAAAGGATGTGGAGAAGCTTGAGAGAGTCCAGAGAAGAGCCACGCGCATGATCAGAGGTCAGGGAAGCAGACCCTACGATGACAGGCTGAGAGCCCTGGGGCTCTTTAGCCTGAAAAAGCGCAGGCTCAGGGGTGATCTGATGGCCACCTACAAGTTTATCAGGGGTGACCACCAGCATCTGGGGGAACGTTTGTTCACCAGAGCGCCCCAAGGGATGACGAGGTCGAATGGTCACAAACTACTTCAAGATCGTTTCAGGCTGGACATAAGGAAGAACTTCTTTACTGTCCGAACCCCCAAGGTCTGGAACAGCCTGCCACCGGAGGTGGTTCAAGTGCCTTCATTGAACACCTTCAAGATGAAACTGGATGCTTATCTTGCTGGGATCCTATGACCCCAGCTGACTTCCTGCCCTTTGGGCGGGGGGCTGGACTCGATGATCTTCCGAGGTCCCTTCCAACCCTGATGTCTATGAAATCTATGAAATCTATGTTTCTGTGAAGCCTGGGTCCGTGGACAGAGGTAACATTTAAAGCACCCTGCAATCCCCTGTTGCACTCCCTGGGTGAAAGCACACCGCTTCATACTGTTACAATAATCTTGAAAACCTGTAGTGGCGGGGTATGGCACAGAGCTGCACATCTGTCAATGGCCCAAAGTGCTCTGAAATTTAAGTACTGAAAATTCCACTCCAATGTGGAGTGCTACAAATATACATCTATTCACAGCCTGAGTTGGCTAAGTGGGGAAGCTATTGCTAGCGGAAGCTGATAGATGTTTGACTCAAATTCTGGGCAGAAAAGACTCCAGACCCTTGGTGTCAGTTTTAGCTTGGGCTTATAATGGAATCAGATACATGTAATAGAAGGAACCTCCAACATGAAGAGATAAGAAGCCCTGGGTGTTTGTAGCAGAGCTCTTGTGTAATAGGTGGGTCACTATGCCTTTGTTTTGGAGCAGATGGCTTATAAATCATCCCCCAAATAGAAAGTGTTTTGTTTGCGCGGAGCAAGAAAATAAATATAGATTCTTAGTGATGATGCTTCTGTTATAATTGGGACAAGAAAAGTACATTTTTAATGGGTAGGTTGGCTGTAAAAAAGTAGTTCAGGGGTTGGCAACATTTTTGGACAGAGTGCCAAAAACACCTACAACCTCCACTTGTAAAATGTTGGCACCAGGGCTAGGAACAGATATTACACATAAACCAGTTTAAGTGATCAGAAGCTGGTTTAAACTTGTAACCAAACAGACGTTGAGTGAATATAAACCAGTTTGATAATGGCTGAAACCAGTTTGAGATAAGTCTGATACTATACACAGCCAGGCTTAACTGATTTGGGTCAAACTGGTTTATGCATTGTCTGTCCCAGACCCCTTCCTGGTTTGACTTGAACCAGAGTTCCCCAGCATCCCAGATGCTTTGCAGCCCTGGGTGGGGCTCTCTGCTCCAGAGAGCAGGGCTGGCCCCACCCCTCTGCTGCCCGGCTGGTGCTCTGGTAGAGACAGCAGGCACAGCAGTGTCTGCCTGGCTTCCCCTTGCCCCTTACGCTGCTCCATCATTCCCTGCTCAAGCAGGGATTCCTCCTTCCTCTCTCCCACAACTTGGACCATAGCCATCATGTGGTATGCTAGCTAAAGCTGAGAGGTGTAAGGCAGACAAGATAAAAGCAGACAGGACAGTGTCCGCTTAGGGCTTTTTGGAACTAATCAACAGGTCAGCTGGTAATGTCCCTCCATTCCTTCCTTGGAAAAAGTTGTTTAAGATGAGCTTGAACTAATGAGAGACTTTTGTTTTCTTGATGGGGTGCTAAATGCTGTGTTATCAGTTCACTTCTGGCTCCCTTGCTGGTCAGGAGCAGCGAGGCTGCCAGGGCTTGGCTACCCCCCACCCCCAGCTCAGCATTGTAGAAGGGAAGGGAGGGCTCTTCTAGCTCCCCCTGGCTTCTAGCCTCAGCCACTGCTGACATGTGGCTGCATTTCTTCAGTCCAGAGGGAATGTCTGTATGGTTGCAAACCAGTTCAGCCTAGCCAGGTTAGACTAGCCTGCAACAATTGAATCAATTCAGGCTCAGGCTTTTTGAGTGTCTGTCCCTAGCTCAGGGGCCCAGTCCTTGTTGTGGCAGCGCAGCCGTAGCCCCTTCCCTACCATCTGCCCTGAGGCACACATGCTAAGCAAAATGCCTTCTTGTACCGTGCTCTGGCACCCACACCAGGGGTTGTTTACCCCTGAAGTAGTGTGTTAGCTTCTAAGTGTTTTATAGAGAGAGAAGGTTATTGGTAGGCAGAACTGTAGAGAAGGGAAAGGATTTATATTTTAAGAAAGGATTGTGTTCATCATAAATACTAGATTAAATTATTTGTCTTTTCAGAGACAAATGTTGCTATATCATAATAGCCAAATGCTTACTTCCAGGAAAATATGGAGATTTAATCATTCTTCATGAGGCTTCTGTAAGGCATGATACCTTACATCTTAAAAAGAGCTCAGGGTTTGGCTTCCTGTCTACAAATGTACAAGATAGGATGTCTATATGGCACATTGATGTGTAGTGATACCTGAGATAATTTTGAATGAGCAAGGTTGAGTAGCAGATGCAGCGTATTCATTCTCAGCTAATACACTTTACTTCTCAGCTAAGACAGCTATATTGTGCTTGAACCCAAGCTAGTTTGTTTAGAGCTAGCTGAAGTATCACTGACAGCACTGAATTCTGCCATGTATGAAACATCACTGAATGGTTTTCCCAATCTTTCCTTGAGTATTAAATATTTTTGGTCTCTGTATTAATATGGTTTGATTCTGGTGATCAACCTGACTACATTTGTATATTAGTTCTTTGGATTGTTACAGATTTTTATCTTCTTAGCTGTCATCTTTCAGCAATAATTTTCTAAGTTCTGTCTTTCATAAACACAAAGCTCCATTATCACTATGCCTTGGTACCAGTCAAACACATCCTGAATGCAGAATGGGGTGAAGTACAGAGATGTTTTAAAGCAACCTTTGCGCTTTAACCCTTCCTGAACTGCATCATTTATCTGTTCAGGATGTGGATAATTGCCCTTTGTATTAATACAAAATATCATAGCTCAGGTAGACTTTCTTTTGTGTCTGTAAACAAACCTAACCAACATCTGTTCAAATCTAGCTGCCTTATTATTGAGGTTAGAGTATTTCTGGTTATCTTGTGTATTATTTGATGGAATGATGACATCTCCAAGCATATGCTGACAACAAAAAAATTCACTTGTATGAAGACTCAAAACATTGTCACACAGCAGTTAGGTCAGTTGGTAAGAAAGAGTCTTAGTTTCATAGTTTCTAGGGTCGGAAGGGACCTGAACAGATCATCAAGTCCGACCCCCTGCCTTGGGCACGAATGAGTGCTGGGATCATAATACTCCAGCCAGATATCTATCCAACCTCTTGAAGACCCCCATGGTAGGGGAGAGCACCACCTCCCTTGGGAGCCCATTTCAGAGCCTGGCAGCCCTAACTGTAAAGTATGCCTCCTGATATCAAGCCAGAACCTACTCTCAATCAATTTTTGATTGGCAACACAGTGCCGTTTGCTAGTATTCTGAATGTGTTGTGCCACAGCTTTTAAGCTCTAAGTTTAATTTTGCTCTAGTCATCTGATATTCCTTTCAAGAACAAGCCTACTTATTAGCCTAATAAATGGAACTAATATAAGGTGTCCTATATCTGAACTAATTGATTTCTTTCCCAACAAGGAATTAATTCTGCCATTGAAACTTCCTGACCATTGAAACCAACATTATTTTTTTGATGGGGAAGTGCAACAGAAACAGAACAAAGTAAAGCATAGTATAAAGGGAAATATTTTATAATTACATACTATTTCTGTCTTTTTATATGCAAAATAGACCTACTGTGTATTTGCACACTCCTTTTTTAGAACAATTTAGTTTTTATTTTTTGTGTGTAAATAGTATACTCTATATTAGCATTCTGGATTGTACATTGTGCTGGATTTCTATCAATATTCAATGTTTGGACCTCCTTCCTGTGTCCTTCACTTAAGGCATATAAAGAGTTTTGTTATTATTACACTTTAGCAGGTTGGTTTTATTGTTATTACCTTTACTCTGTTCTGTCAGTTATATCAGAAGCATAGTTACTTACCATATATAATTGTTGTAATATCCAGCATCAAGTTACTGAAGATTCAAGAAATTTTAGAATTTACTTTAGAATTTATAGTTTTACATAGACTTTAATTTTCCTTAACTCAAGGTTGGAAGCTTTTAAGGTGGTTTATTTACACATTGTATGTAAATGTATCAAGTGTGAAAAGGTGGTATGCAAATGTTTGTGGACTTCTGCATATACATAGTACAGGTATTGAAAAGCCTGATATATACAGACCTTGGCATGTACCTGTGCCACCTCCCATGCTTCCTCCAACTTATATATACATCAGGAATTTGTACCAGTTTAGTTCTTGTATAGGAGTACATATTTTTGGATTCCTGATGCATATATTCGGTGGAACAACTCTAAATTCACTCTTGACAAACTCCCCATTATCAGTCTTCAGCCAGTCTGAAGTAATATTTAAATGAAAAATAAAAGATCTCTCTTACTAGTATTGCTAATTAATTATTTTTTAGATAAATTATCATCTAATTAGGTGTTATCATTAACACTGAATGTCTTTGCAGGCTAGCCCAGCAGCTTCTTCAAGGTTTGGTCACTATTATGATGTATCAAAAACATTGTCTCCAGAACTGCTTCAGTCTACAAAATGGCATCGTTTTTTCCTTCCTGAAGAAATATCTTTACAGCCTAACATTAACATTTGGTAAGTTAAGTCCTGTTTTTTTTCTATAAAATAAGTTTTTATATTAAATTTAAGGGATGATTTTTAAAGGTGTCCCTAGATAATTTAGGATCGTGCATCCCTTTGTTTTAAAATGAAACTTGTACTTCTACAGTTCATTAGTTACTCTTGAATAATCTTCCCCAATTTTTTACCCTAAATGTACCAAGGGTGTACATAAAATAGAACATGGATAAGATTGCTTTCAGCAGCGATATTCCTATATTTTGAGAGAGCAAGTTAAACTACTGTTTGGATTTGAAAAGGAATTCTTGATCAGTTTGCCAGACTAATCATTTGTTATAGTTTGTATCTGTTGCAAATAAAATCAGACCAACAGAGTGCCAGAGACATCAGTGAAGTGTTGTACTACAGCTGTACTTGCTACTAGCTATTTTGCCAGTGTCTCAAGGTACTCCTCCAATGTCAAATAAAGACCAGTATAGTGTTCTTGGATCTTTCTACTGCTCTAATCTCTAGGTTTTACAAACTTCTAGGAATAGAACTAAGTCCCAAGAAATATTTCAGTGCGTTTTTAAAAGTATAGTTTAACACAATACAAAGTATAATTGATAAAAGAAATCCAGTGCTTCATTGTTAAGTGCTTTTTAAAAAATGTAAACAAGGGAAAAACTACAGTCTTTGTGGATACCAATGACAGTATTATGTGATCAAAGGGCAATGGTTTGTATTTATTAAGGCCTTCACATGCTAGCTGGATTGTAAACAAAGCAATCTGTATACTTTTTAGAGCAAGGCAAAATTATGGGCCCTATTTCTGTAGTAAATTTTTTAAGCCTGTCCATGTGTAATCATAGAATCATAGAAAATTAGGGTTGGAAGGAACATCAGGAGGTCATCTAGTCCAACCCGCTGCTCAAAGCAGGTTTATCCCCAACTAGATCATCCCAGCCAACGCTTTGTTTAGCCTGGTCTTAAAAACCTCTCTGAGCAATCTGTTCCAGTGTTTTGCTATCCTCCTAGTGAAAAAGTTCTTCCTAATATCTAACCTAAACTTCCCTTGCTGCAACTTAAAACTATTGCTCCTTGTTCTGTCATCTGCCACCACTGAGAACAATCTAGCTCAATCTTCTTTGGAACTCCTCTTCAGGTAGCTGAAGGCTGCTATTAAATCCCCCCTCAGTCTTCTCTTCTCCAGACTAAGTAAGCCCAGTTCCCTCAGCCTCTCCTCAGACGTCATGTGTCCTAGCTCCCTAACCATTTTTGTTACCTGTTGCTGGACTCTCTCCAATTTGTCCACGTCCTTTCTGTAATGGGGGGCCCAAAACTGAACACAGTACTCCAGATGTGGCCTCACCAATAGTGAACAGAGGAGTATAACCACTTCCCTTGACCTACTGGCAACACTCCTGCCAGTGCAGCCCAATATGCTATTAGCCTTCTTGGCAACAAGGGCACACTCTTGACTCATATTCAGCTTATTGTCCACTATAACCTCCAGTTCCTTTTCTGCAGAGCTGCTGCTCAGCCAGTTAACCCCCAGCCTGCACTGGTGCATGGGATGGTTCTGTCCCGAGTGCAGGACTTTGCACTTGTCCTTATTGAACCTCATGAGAGTCCTTTTGGCCCAATCATCCAATTTGCCTATGTCTCTCTGAATCCTGGTCCTACTCTCCAGCATATCTACTACTCCCTCCCACTTGGTGTAATCTGCAGACTTGCTGAGGGTGCACTCTATGTCATCTTCCAGGTTGGTGATGAAAATATTGAACAAAACTGTCCCCAGAACCAGCCTCTGGGGTTTTCCACTTGATACCAGCTGCTAACTAGACATCGAGCCAATGATTACTACCCTCTGAGCCCAATGCTTCAGCCAGTTTTCTGTCCACCTTACAGTCCATTCATCCAGCCCACACTTCCCTTAGTTTGCCTGCTAGGATGTTGTGGGAGACCTTATCAAAAGACTTGCTAAAATCAAGGTATACTACATTCACTGGTATCTCTGAATCCACAAAGCCAGTCATCTCATCATAGAAGGCAAGCAGGTTGGTCAGAAATGAATTGCCCTTGGTGAATCTATGCTGACTGTTCCTAATCACCTTCTTCTCCTTCAAGTGCTTAGTAATAGATTCCTTCAGAATCTGCCCCATGACTTTTCCAGGGACTGAGGTGAGGCTGACGGATCTGTAGTTCCCTGGATCCTCCTTTATCCCTTTCTTAAATATGAGCACTGTATTTGCCCTTTTCTAATCGTCTGGGACCTCTCCCAATCACCATGAGTTTTCAATAATATTCCTCTTCAGTAGTAGGGATGCTAATGGATGTACCCAAGGAGTGAGGTGTATGGCACAAGCTATACTTTGGGCAATAGTTAAAAGGAAAGTGAATTAATATTGCCACCCAACAAATGACCTGCCATTAGTCTTTGCTCTAAGTTTGTGTCACTGAGATGAGTCATTCCTTGGCACTGCATTTTGGATTGCCTGCCAGTAAATCAGTGGTCTGAAATATTTTTATTTATAATCAAGATAATCAGTATGTTGAAAGCTTCTTCATAAAATAGGCTTTCAACATCAAGTCTTTATTTGAGCAAGAAAAGGCACAAATAAATTAAATATACCAGCCAACTAGGCTTGAACCTCCAGCTAACTGAATTGTCCCTGATTGAGCAGTCCCTATAAACTAGGAAAGATTAATGACAGTTTTAGTGGGCCTAAATTTAATTACATATTGTTTCTAGTTTTTGGATACAACTATTGAAAAAGGTGTGTTTAGTGTGTTCAGAAATGCATAACAAGAAAAGAAGATAAATCTTTCAGAAAGTTGTAAGGAAAATATTTTACATGCTTACACCAACATTTTTAAAGAATAATTGAGTGATTTCATCTTTTTCTTTAATCCATATTTCCACGCTAATGAAGCCTGATTTTTAGTAGGAAGATAGCCAGTTGATTCTGAAAGTCTATTTAATTCATTTATAAGTAAATGGAAGATATAATGATATAATTCTCTAAAACTGTCAGTCCTTTTTTCACAAAACCATAGTCTCTTTTAAAAAAAAAAAAAAAAAAGAGTAAAGCTGGGGATGGAGCAGCTTTTAAAAAAAAAAAAAAAAAAAGAGAAAAGCTGGGGATGGATCAGAACCCTCAGTTAACAAAAGTGTAGGATAAGTATTTGTTGTTTCTTAGCAAACAAAATCAACAATTGCTTAAAATTATTTTTGAATGACTAAATATTGGTAGAACATATAGCAAATCAGTATTTTATTATTTTGAAATGTATGTGTTTCTCTGTATTTGATGTGGGCTTATAGTGTGGCAGTTTCTCAGACACTGAATTTATAAAATAAAAGATATTTAGGAAAACAAATGATTGCATAGGTAACATATATTTTTTCTATTAGTAGTTTTTAAAGTCTAATATGATAACAAATTCTAGGTGATTCATTTGTACTGAACTTACAGAGAAAAACTTCCTATTGTTTATACTAAAGTAAGAGACTTCAAGTTTGTGCTTTTATAAAGGCTTGTAAAGATTTATCGAGGTTTGATTATGTCACGTGTGGCATTCCAGGGCAACTGTATAATTCTTGGGGAACATACAAAGTCCACTTTTATTTTAGTCAAACATCTTACTGAAAAGTCAGTCTTAGAAATTTGCCAGTAATTATTGGTCAGCTGTGTTTCATTCATCTGTTGCAGTTAATGTCACTTGCTTATTCTATCACTTTATTTTACTCTACTAAACAGTAGTTGTCATGTTGTTCATGTGTTCTGTTGCAGAGATGGTGAAGAACTAAGTGTTGCTTATGTGTTTCTTGGATGTCCGCCACCTTTATCCATGGAGTATAGTGTTGGTGGTTGGGGACAGAAAAGAATAAGGAACTGAAATCCAAACAGTTCAGTGGTTTAGGTAGTAGGCGCAAGCCAGTTTTCTTCTCTACCCTTTGCTTGCTTACTTTGCATCTTCCACCTGAGTTTGAACATTTTTTTGCATAACCTTGAACACTATTGTACCACACGAAAGTGTTTGACTCCCAGTTTTCAAGCAGCTTCTTTAGGCTAAGGATGAGGCATGCTAGCAAGCATTAGTGATGCATTGGTGAAGTATGGGGGGGCACATGCCCCCCCAGATTGCTGCGCCAAAGGCAACATACAGGCACGGGCCTGCAGTCTGGTTGGAGCCAGCGCCTGGCACCAATTGGGGTGGAGGCGGCAGCGGCAGCACAGGGATGTGCCCTGCCTCACCTCAACATTTACCCATTGTTTATGCTAGCAAGCTGAATTTTGCACCCTTATTGCCTCTACTGTTTATCTTCTGTTGATGAATGGAGAATTCTGGTTTCCAGTAAGTACTCTCTGTCAACTTTAATAGGCATTAAGACGAAATTGAATTAGAATTGTTAGTGCTATTCTTCAGTATTGTGTTTGTACTTTATTAACCTTAAATTCACCTTACATGTTCACAGGCCATATTGATTATCAATGGATGCAAAAGACATCCATTCTGTTGGATGGTACAGTTTCATACCTGTGCGGGCCGGGCGCGAGCCAGGCCCTTTTTTGTGCTCTGCGCGGGCTGTGGCCAGCAGCCCGGGCATGCGGGGTCGGAGAGGGCGCGCGTCAAGCTAAAATTAGGCACAGACTCGTAGCGGTAGATTTAAAGATTGTTTACTTACACCGGAGATGGTTGCGGTGCAGGCTGGAAAACTTGCTCGAGTTGCAGTTACAGACAAAAACAACACGAACGATCACGTGGAGTTTGCTGGGCTCCACGGAAACAGAGCTCCGGATGCCCTGGACAAGCGCGCCACCGAAATAGAAACTTCATAGATACGTCTTATAAAATTTATCGCTCGAAGACAGGAAGAGGTGGGCGATGGATCAGGTCGCCAAACTCCTCTGAATCTCACACAGGGTCTCTATTACTCTGCCGTGTACCCAGAGTCCCCACGAGATGAATGTGGAGTCCTCTTCAGCTTGGGCGGAAACCGCTCAAGCCTCTTCTACGGTTAACAGGCC